CATTTGTGTTTATTTTGAAGTTGGTCTTAAATTTCTTTCATTTAACTTTCCTTAATCTGTAGGAACCCTGACAAAAGTTTGCCAGCCCAGGTGATAAATCGACAGATTTCAACAAACTATGTAGCAATTTAAAAGCCATTGCGATGCAGAATTTGAAAAGTACACAATATTGAGAAGTTCCTCGTTGTGATTTGTTTGCCAGCAACGTGGCAGCATACTGTTGACTCGCAGCAAGAAGGTTGCAGAATTGCCTCTTGACCTAGGTGGAGTTTGCACGATTTCCTCATGCACGTGTGGGTTTTCTCCAGGTACACTGATTCTCTCTCACAGACCAAAAATATGCACGTTAGGTTAATTGYCAATTCCAAATCATCCCATACAGTGACTAAGTGTATAAATGGTTGTTTGTCCTGTTCAGGGTTTCTCCCAGTGTGGTTGGCTCAACTTAACCTGCAACCCTGTGATGGACTCACGACACGTCCACTCCCCGTCTTCAACAGCTCACTGTCACCTGAAAGGAAACGTAGGTACAGAAAATGGATAGGAGGGTCACATCTTTTGTTTGCTGTGCCAGGCATCTTAAACGTAGCTGACTCCAGAAGGTATTCGGTTGTTGATGTGCGTTCAATAATTCCTTTCAGCAGGTTAGCCGTCGTGTTGTTCATAAAAGATACTGCTAAAGCTATGAACGTTCAGGCCAAATCCAAGCCAATCCGTTTGGAATGCAGCGCAGGAGATCCCTGCAGAGCGGGCAATTACAAGCAGAGCGCTCGTGGCTCCCGACCGGCATGAAGAACTCTGGCAGTAAAGCTGCGAGTCATGTGCCTCCATTTAAATGTGCGAGCAAGAAAGAAGACGGAGCTAAGTGGCTGGGGACTCTGCCGTGCCAAGACGCTTAAGGAATGCAGCGGTGGGAGCAGCAGATTTCCTTCTGCAGTAATACAAGTCACTGCTATCGGAAGCTTCTAGTCCACTCAGCAAGTCTTGCAGCCAGTGTAAACACATGACAGGTAGCAGAAAACTCAAAGATCCCATAGAGAGGAACTCTTGTTTAAGATTTATCTGGATCTTTTTTTTGTTTTGTTTTTATGACTTCACCAGAAGAAGCACATGTCTCTGCACATATCTTGGACTGGGTTGCTCGTCTGTCAGCCGGGTGTTTTTTTAATCCAAGTGAGCGTTGTCAGTGTTTTCAGGGCCATGTGAGCGCCAGGCATGTGGCRCAGCTCCTCAGGCCCTGGCAGTTAGTTAATAAACACAGGCCTGTCAACAGCTGCTGGTGATGTAATGTGGAACTTCTCCTCACTCTCTTTCTCCTCCCGCCCCACCACGCCTCCCTCGACTCCCCTACTGCACCGCCACTACCTCCCCTGCCTTTTTTTATTTACAAGTTTTACTGGGTGTTGCTGCAGACTTCCAGCACAGAGTGTGTGTGGCTACCTCCCCCCCCC